AAATGGAATGCTACTCAGCCATAAAAAGGAATGAAATAATGCCATTTGCAGCAAATGGATGAACCTAGAGATTATCATACTAAGTGAAGTAATTCAGAGAAAGACAAATATATGATGTTGCTTATATGTGGAATCTAAAAAAATGATACAAATGAACTTATTTACAAAATATAGAGAGTCATAGACATAGAAAACAATCATATGGTTACCTGGGGGAAAGTGGGGAGGGAGGGATAAACTGGGAGTCTGGGATTGGCAGATACAAACTACTCTGTACAGACTAAATAAACAAGGTCCTACTGTATAGCACAGGAAACTATATTCAGTGGCTTGTAGTAACCTGGAATGGTAAAGAATTTATATGTATGTATAACTGAATCACTATGCTGTATACCAGAAACTAATACAACATTGTAGATCAGCTGTACTTCAATTTATAAAAAGTTAAAAAAGAAAGTAAAAAAAAATTACAAATATGAAAGCAGAAATAAAAGTGGGTAACATTCACTTAAAAAATTGAAATAAAACAAAAACATCAAGAAAAAAATCACTTAAGCTTGTCAACATGAATTACAGTTTGAATGTTCTTTTCTTCTGCCAATAGGTACACTTCATTGAGTACCTTAAGGCATCTGGTAGTTGTCCTGAGATGACGAAGGTGGGCGCGTGGCTTGAGGAGGAGTATACATAAGAAAGTCTAAACCTCCCAACCATTGCAACCCCTGCTCATCCAAAAAGTGACTCTTCCTTTTGGGTATGGGGTTAGCAGGACTCAGTGAACTTTTTTTTTTTAACCCTTCGTCAGATCTTGATCAGCGGGGCTATTAATGTTTTCTCTCTCTCTCTCAAAACCTGATACATGTCAGGTCCCCAGCTTAACTGCTCATTTGGTCATCATTAGTTCCCGCTTCAGATGACTGCCCCATTTATCTTAGCTTAACACATTACCATGCCAACATACAATGGCATATAGGTATTCTTTTATGATGTTCGATAGCATATTGAAACATGCTTCAATTTAAGGTGACACAAAATGTAACTTTCTTCATCCTTTAATTTGACTCAGTGGTAACGTAAGATGGGCATAACAGACAATGTACAGTCTATTAGCAATTTTACAGCAAGTCACTGTTAGAGTCTGTCATCTCAGTATTTATTTAACTGAGTTGCATATGATCTAGTTGAACACTTCATACGTGCCTGTATTTTGCTTCTTGACAACCTGTGTAGAAAGCACATCCAGAAGGGCATATGAAATATGCATGCATCCTCCCATGGAAATATTTACAAATACATGATGTTAATAGTAAAAAACTTATCAAGGATGACACAATTGATTCTGCTCCAATATGCATAGTTAGTATTGAATTTTCAAGCTCATTAAAGGAAAGCGTGAAGAAGATGCTTTAAGAACCAGGGGCACTGCATCAGCTTTTGTGTTTCTGAAGCCCTTTCTGGGGGAAGAGATGGGGAGAGTTTTCAGTCAGCCACCAGACCATTGCAAAAAACAAAACATTCATTGTCTTTTTTTGTGATTGGGGTGGGAACCTTTTTTCCTAGTTATTGTTTTAGAAAATGATAAAAAAGAACCTTGGAGAAAATCCAAATTTGTCTATAAACACTACTAATTGTTACTTGCAGCCAAATGCAATGTGCAATTGCACAAGGTTTGTTAAAGAGTCAAAGAAGTAATCTGTATAAAGCACTCATTGCAAAAATCTGCAGTGTTGAATCTAAGACACTTTGATGCTCTTGTTTTTACTAGAAAATGTTAAAGGAGTGTGTTCTTCCAACTGTGTCACAAGTGCCACCTGGCTGACAACACACACACACACACTGAGACTGATTATAAAGTGTACCTGAGTTCAGGAATGTGAGGATGGGCAAATCGTATATCTTGGAATCCATGAAATAAAATACTAATAGGTACCATTTATAGAGCAATTCTTACTCATAGGTAGGTGCTCAAAGTGTTGTTTTCTGTCTTTCTATTCTTATCCCTTTTTCTAACGCAAGGATGTGTCTGTGAAGGAGGAAGCTGCCTCCTTCAATAATACGTGAACAATAATAATTTCCAGGTGCACTCAGGAGGTGGCCACAATGAACAGTGCCTTCTCACTACGAGGAAAACCTAAACATGAATTTTGGGAAAATAATGAGTTTTGCAGCAAATCCATCTTTTACAGGGGGACCTGACAAGGCTGCTCCCTAATTCCAGTCGGCTCTCCAGAGTAGGTCTGATTAATGGGCTGGAATTAGCACTATTGGGACAGACCAGTTCATTGAAAAATTCAGAGTCTCCTATCAATGTCACCCTCCACCCAGGCCTGGTGGGGAGGCAGCCTCCACCATCGGCGTTTCCATGACGATGCAGTACATTTAGTCAGCAGCACCTCCTGAGTAAACAGTAATCCTTCAGAAAAACAAGAAGGTCATTACAGCAACTTGTCAAATCAATGCACAGGGTGTCGAGGCCGATTAAGGCATCTTCTCTCGCAGCTGACACAGTGTCAATAGTACTGGGCCACTGCTGCTCAGGCAGATGATTGAAGTGAAGTGCCCATCAGTCAGGGCGTTGAGGTGGACTAACGATTCCCCACGCTGCCTATTAGAGCTACATGACAACTCAATCCTGCTCGCCAGCAGAGAGAGAGGGAGAGAAAGAGAGGGAGAGAAGGGGGAAAAACAGTGACCTTGTTGCTTTGTTTGAAGCTGAATTAAATTGACAAGAGCAGCTAATCTTTACCTAGGGCGATTAACAGAATTAAGGACCACAACAAAGGCACCAAAGGTTTTAACATCTATGCAAAGGCTCAGGGATGTTTATGATGTACGAAGCTCTCCTTGGGTATTCAGGTGCGATCCAGATATGTATTCTGGGCCAAGGCTTCTCCAAATGAAGCGTGGGTAATCCCATTAACACCCTGCCAAAGCAACGTGTAAGGACACCAGGCATTCACTGAATATGCCCCTTTCTCCATCAGCCGGGAAGCCTGCTTTCCCAGTGGCGCTGGCTGATTATTTTAGACTTACGAATCTGGGCTGAGGAAAGCCATAAATACACAGAGTTTTTAATATATTTCCCTGGAGAAACATTTTGCCTTATTTTAAATCTTCTAAGCCCATGATTCCACAGCATTTTTTCTCAAACCATCCAAAG